AGAACGAAAGAAGGGATATCTTTCGCTTACAATTACTCTTGACAGTTCGTTTCGTTATGACGCAGTGTGTCGTAATTTTATCCTCGGTTATTAGTCAATATTCGGCATATTGTGTCCACGAATTATCTGATATTTGTTGGTAGTCTTGCAAATAGACTGTGTGGTTTGAGGGTTTATTGACTTTACCCAAAGAGGAAAAGCGTCAATAAACGTTTTACAGAGAGTGGTCACATTAAGGTCTGCCATATTGTCAATTAAGTGTATTCTAACTACAAGTCTGTGAAAAAATATATATTGCCTACAGCTGTAGTCTCTATTGCAAATTATTTCAAAAATGGTATGATTAATTTTATAAAAAATCGTATAATTTAATTTAAATTTTACAAATTATGCCACAAATGGACTTTAAACCGAGCAGCGAATATTGTATATGGCACCCGCACTCGGCTATACACAAAAAATATCGGATAACAAAATGCGCGCTGCAGAAAACACAACCTTAAAGCCATAAAAAAATACAAATTGTATTACTGTTCGTTATTTTATTTCAAAAAATCATTTATTTTGTTATTCGTTAAGTAATTGTGGTTCGCAATACAGTCGATTTTGTAGTATTTTTAGCATTTAAATCCGGTAACAACACGCATTTACAACCATTTATCCCGACACAGTTCAGCCTTGGCCCTCGTCTATCTCCCACAGTGGAGCACACCCTTATCAAAATCCAACATCCACTAAAAATTCACTTTGGCACTTATTCATTCCATTAACGAAATCCCAACAAAGCTTCATTGTGCGGGTGTGTGCGTGGAGTGTAAAGAAAAATATAAAATAACTGTATAGCTGTTTGTCGGTTTCAGCCAGTCGCCAGCTGACATTTGTCATTTCAACTTCATTTTTTCTTACTTTTGAGGATATTTCATTTATTTATTAAGGCACTTGTTGTTGTAAAGTCGCGTACAAGTAGAAATGTCAAGCATTACATTAGGAAGCGCAGCTATAAGTTTTATTAAAATTTGCGTTCGCCGGCTATAAGACAGTCCCCAGCTGGGGAATGTGCATAACTTGCTGCAAAATAATACAAAATAATTCGAAATATTACAAAATATTTGTCAAAAACGAAGAAAATGACAAAATAAAAGACACCGTTATACCCGAACATGGCATGGTGGTGTGCGGTGAGCACTAGTGTGATATGGGTTGGCAAACCCTGACTTTATGCTGTTTTCTTTGTTTTTTTTTGTTTCATCTTACATATACCGGCATAACCCAACCGAAAATACACACCCACACATTTCTTTGCCTGCCCACGCTACCAGCATTTCGTATAATTCAGTTAGTTTGACAGGCACACGTGTACGACAAGTGGAAAATTGACGTGCGATTATGTTTTTGTCAAAATTAAATTCAAAGTATCAAGTGTCAAAATTATTGCTCAAGAATTACGTTAAAGTTTCCTTTGACTGGTGAGGCTATAAATACATACACACAAATGTACATGTATGAGTGTGTGTGTGTACGATACCCCGGATAAAAATATATTTTCTTATATGCTTATGTTATGGGAAATACTTTGACACATTTGGGGCGTGGAATGGTTGAGGCACTACTTGTGCGCATGTCCTGCGAAGGAGGTATTCCGTGTGTGGAAGCTACCAGCAAATACATACTTGTAAATATCTGAGCATAAAAATGTTTCATAATTTCGTACGTGTATCGGAAGAAAATAGCTCTAAATTAGTGAATTAGAAATAAACTGAATATACTTGTAGACCCGAAAATTTCATCGGATTTGAAAATGAGGTTCTGAAAAGTTGTAGAAATAAGTAACTCTTATTACCGAAAACTTCTAAAGGCCTTGCAATTTAGCTATCTTCAAAAAGCACTTAGTTATATGTAATTGTGGAGGGTACCTCAATAACCCCTATGGGTTGCTAACACAGAACTTCCATAAAGATTCTAAAATGTCATGAAATGTGAAGTAGATCCACAATTTAATAAAAAATAAAGAAAAAACCCCAACTCCGTATTTAAAATGAGTATATTAATCAGGTGATGCAGATTCCTTACTCAAAAACGCATTTGTCGAACGAAACTAAGCACTTAACGTTCAAGTATCTGACTTTTAATAGAACATCAGGAAAAAGAAAAACATAGAAAAAGAATTTCACATAATCGGTCAACCTTATTTTGCTGTCTATAAAGGTAAATTGTGGGTTTAATAATTTTACAACAAATTTTTTTAGCCGAGTAAAAAATGATCTATTCATATTACCGACTGACTGTAGGGGAACACCGTTAAAGATGAGGTACATACTCGTATGTATATACCTATGGAAGTAGAATCAGACCGACTTCCCTAAATATCTTGAAGAAACGGGTTTGAAAATCATTAAATGAGTCAAATATGAAATTAGTATGAGTCATATATAGATGACATTGGATATACTGGATGACATTTCCTATTGAAATTTTCGAGCTTTTTTATTCGAGAATATAATACTATTAATCTTCAAGAACTCTGAACGTACTACGATTTAGAATTAAGGCACACGTCCTCAGTATACGTGAAAGTGTAGTTATTAATTTCAGATAGAAGCAAAAAGCATTTGTTTATTTAATATAACCCAAAACGAAGCTTTACATTAAAAAATATCAAGACCTTTATAAGTAACCCCATCATAATTCAGAGTTTACTTATGCGTACCCTACCATATTGCCTTGACTGCTGCCCTTTTCATATTCAAAATTATATACGAATTTGTAGATTAAATTTGCTGAATACGAAATCATAAAAAATTTATGCAAAAAAGGTGAAATTGTCGTCCATTTCACAGGCCAAAACAAGACAAAAAATAAAAAAATACTTTATATTTTCATCTTTATCTGCTTTGTTGCCTTTTTACGTCAGATTTGTTCTTTTCACTGTTCTTGCAGATGTAAAATACAATTCAGTGAAATTAATCCTTTTTTCTGCAGAATAACAAATAGTAAGGACAAAACCTATTTTAATTCATTTTGTACGTAAATATTCAATTTTCAAAACAAAACAAAAAAAAACAAACATTTTAGGGGATTTCTTTGTGAGAAATCTTCAATTTGAGTCATAATTTTTTTATGAGTTAAATTATACACTGCGAAAAATATATTATGATACTGTGAAATAATATTATTTGTCGACAAAATGATTTAATATGAATATGTGACGGGTGCCGGTTTTGGTCTGCTTGGGTTTACACTCTCAATCAAGGTACTATATACCATACCAAAATATACCAAGGATATTAACAAAACTTATTCGTACTCTCCTATTGTTGGCGAAGTTTTGTGGAATGTATTTAAGATCTATACAGTTAGCTAAAAATGCCGATTTAAATGAAGAAATTTTTAAAAACATATTTGAGGGTATTGATTTTCGTGCGGCAACTCATAAATTGTACAATATCTTAGAGGTTTATCTATCCAAGGCTTGAAGCAAACTCAGCCATGAAAATCCTCGGTCACTGCGAAGAGATCAGTTTGAAAATAGTTGTCGAAAATAACCAATCTTCTAGCCTGCTCGACTGAGTCTTTAACTTAAAATAATCGAGTGATCGAGTTTCGACCAAGTCGACACTTGACGAAAAGATTTGCATGATATGTACATAAATCTAAAAATCCGAAATCGAGTCAAATGATTTTCCATATTTTTAAAAGCTAAGAGCACTTAGTTTTGGAAGACTTGATTCAGAAAGTGGTTTGGAAATCGAAATTGTATACTTTTGGGATAGATTACACTTTAGCGAGTTAAAAAATGTCTTGGAAATCCTTTTACATACATTTTTGTGTGTGTAATTTATTTGGGATTATTACTTAAATTGTGCAACTGTAAAAAAAAATTTTATTTTTATTTGATATACGCACTGATATATGCATTAATAATGAACTACAGGCAGTGGCTAAGTTGCTACATACAAATTGATAGACTGAAGCAAAAACGTAGTGTAAAAGCAATAGGAAGGATCAATGTGGATAAAAATCTAAGGCACATACAACACTGAGACGCCCTTTGATCACAAGGCGTAACTGAGAAGGCAAACAGCTAAAAAGGCAATAAATGAGCAACCGGAGGGGGATACGTAGTCATAACTGACTGTCTGAATGAGTGAGTGGCTGATTATGAATGGAATAACTGCTGGCAGCCGCCGTCAGCCAATGCGCCGAGGCTGCGTAGCACAACTGGTTGAGTAAGTGAAATTTGATACGATTTATGAATCTATTCACTTTCTGATGTACAATAATACATACAAACACTTATCACAAAAAAAATTCACTTTCCATTTTATGACCTTTTTCGCTGCCTGCAAATTCATAACCCATCTTGATTTCATTTAAATATTTTGTTGCAAACTTGAAGTAGTCACGTCCATTACAATTTACCCAAACAAAAGAGCGCATAATTTTATTTATACACATGCTAACTGTAGTAGTATGCGAAGCATTAAGGTTTTCTCACCTGAACGCGCGCTTCCGTCAGATTTATTTTCATCGCCAGGTCCTCACGTGTGAACACATCCGGATAGTGGGTCTGCGCAAAGGCAGTTTCCAACTCTTCCAACTGCGAAGTAAAGAAAATTCGTAAAATTAATAATGAGAAATAGCATGTAGGTGAAGGAGTAACTAAATAAATAAGCAAACATTCGGTTAAACTAACTAAAACTCCTAAAAGTGAAATAATTCGCTCTTAAACTCTCCGTCGTGGCGTACTTACCTGTTGCAATGTGAATGTAGTACGATTACGCCGCTGCTTACGTCGCACAAATGTCTCATCATGTATGGAAGGATGATACGAGTAGCTTGCATCTGTAGTTGTGTAGTTTACACCACAGAAGTGTTAAATATGAAAAGAGAGGAAAATATAAGAATTTAGACGAATGTATAAGAAAGTGGTCAAAATGCATTAAATAAAATAGTGCACATACGTGTTTGTGCAAAACTATATTCGACTTACTCCAGCTGTAGCATTCTTAAGCTGTGATAAGCTCGGAAGTGTAGTATAGTCAGGGGGAATTATAATTACATAAATTAGTAAAGTAGTCAGTTCAAGGGTATTTTTGAGTTGAAATTTGAGTTTAAAGGTTGTAGGGTGGTCAAAAAATAGACTTAATTTACTTTCTTATAAGAAAAAACTATTATGAATGTTTATAATATTTAGACTTTAAAATAAGGGCAATTCGAAATGCCCAGCGCAGCCTGCCATGTTGCCAACTCTAGAAACTTCGTAATATACCTAAAATTCTGATCTATTTTGTTGAACTTGGAGTTTATTATGTGTTTAATAAATATCAAAAATACTTTTTTAGGTATTGTCAAAGCCCATAGTCTCTCAAAAACTAATTTAATGGACGAGATTAAGCTGAGCGTATTTTTAAAAGCATTCGCAGAAGAGTCTGATTTATCTAGTCAAACTCTTAAAATCTTCTAATCTTCCTACAATATATGTAAAACATATAAAGGGCACTGAACCGATCGAAGAAAACGCTGAGATCGAATATTCAGCTATAATAATAGCCATATGAAATAATATAAAAACTGAAGGAGCTCATAAATTACCAACATTATTTAAATACTGCGAAGATACAAATATTTGAGCTCCCAAAAAGCTGTTTTTACAAATTCGTTCTTTAATATTTTTAAAAATATACAATTTAAACTATATAAGTCTAACGCAGAACGCAAATTCTTTAGAAAATCCCACCCACTAAAGCCCCCAACGCTTGCTTTGCAAATATTTAGTGAGCAAAGTAAACTTACAAATTCCTTTATTCAACAAATTAAATATTAATTAGCAAGTAAATGATATAGTATACTTTTTGGCGCTGGAAGCTATGGCGGTTTTTACAAACTAGAGAGAGATATATCCACACAGCAAGACACAAGCATGCAAGCATAAACAGCACCAAGCAGATAAACTTACATAATTACGTGTACACACACATACATATACTTTCATAAATATAATTAGTTAACCTTTACCAGTAAACGAGCAGAGGCGAAGGTAGAAGAGTAAAATGGCTGCCAAGGTGGACTTTTGTGGTATGAGCATAAACAGCTGTTGGCACTAAATAACATTACTACGCATTACCCAACTCCCCCGAGACTTAAGTCGACAAATGTTAAACGACTCACAAATATATATGTGAGTACTTGAATAGATAAATAAGGCTGCGTAAGCACGAACAAACACTGGTTAGTAGCTAAGTTGTGGGTAGCCAAAGGAAAAGGTGATGATACTGGAGCACTGGGAGAGGATGGCATGGCGGTATGGTGGCCAAGCAAATGTTTTCCGGCGCAATATTCTTAATCCGATTATCGTTCGTTGAAAATTAGTAATGGCGCCGACAACAACAACAACAGCAACAGCTAAGTGAAAAAGTGAACAAACCCGTCCGGTGAACTTTCAGCTCGCAACCGACTGTTTGTTAACCTTTTCTGCTTGGCATTTCACTTGGTGCGCTCTCATTTGAATGTGGCACATTCAGAAATTAAATTTTACAATTTGCTACCTAATTATTTATTTAAAACAAATTGAAAATTAATTTCGTCGAGTCGAGCGGCGACGGCACACAAAAAGTTCAAACAACACGAACGCGTAGAAATTGCGGCCGGAAGCGTGCTGGCTAAGAAAACATTCTCTTGACTCCAGCGAACGACTCAACGCATTTTGTGTACCTTGTGCAGCTCGGCTGCCTGTAATTCCTAAGTGCCTTAAGGGTCAAGTGTGCGGTTTATTTTGACTGCGTGTTGCGTTACTTGGAAAAGGTTGTCAGCTTTTCACTCTGTGTTAAGGCCATCAAAATACAAGTAAAGCTAATGATATTTTGTATGACTGCCACTCGTTCTGCTGTTAAGTCGATGCTCACAAAATGGCGTCGAAAAGAAAATTAAATTAGAAAATAATTTTGGCAACTTTTGCTACGACCAATTCATATGCGGCTTTTGCTGTTGTTGTTTTATTAATGCTATACTCTTGACTTATGTGGAACTGCTTTAAAACTCAATTTGTTTATGATGTTGAAATTTGCTTTCGGCACCATTTTCTTGGTTATGCAAATATATGAGCTTCGTATTGTATATACAATTTTTTATTAAGCTAAATAAGCGGTGTGTGATGTTATCGTTTGATAAAAATATATTGTATTTAAATTTGAATTTCAAAGAAAGTCGCTTAAACGAGGTTGAGAAGAAGAAGATCTTTCTTGGTGAATAACCGTGACTCAAGAATTTGGGGGTTTATAAGAATAATAACGACTTGTTAATAATCCCACTATAATATTTTAAAAGAATATCAAATGTATAAAAATCCATTTACTAGCCCACCCTAGATCCAATCATTTTTTTTTATAATATAATAAAATTACTAATCTTAAACCAAACCATTTTTTAAATATACAAAAAATTATAATAAACTCCCAAAACTCACCAACTCGTTATTTACGAGGTTATTAAAAACTTATGTATGTACATTGTTTTATTTAAACACAAAAAGTCAATTGAAAATGATAAGTATTTCACTCGCGATATAGTATATGCTATATTTTTGCACAAAAATACCGATCACATATGATGTACGCGACCCAAACACGAACCGAAACAAAAATGCATTTAACATAATATAACACTTTAATCCATAATTTGAAATTAATTACAGTAAAAATTAATATTTAGTTGAATATAAACAGCTTCTAGTAAAATTAATTTAATTGCATGCCGCTAATAAGCAGCAATAATAAAATGCAGCCTGCAATGTGCATGTACAAACACGACTGCGAACAAAACCAAGCTGCGCCTTTAGAACAACACAGTTTACTTTTATACACTTTCTTATTGCTGCAAATCAATAATTTGCACTGAAAACATCGCACATTTCTATTATATTAATATTATTATTTATATAATGTTTCATTTATTGTTAAAACTTTCGCTAGAAACACTTTATCTTAACTCTTCGGCACTAAATTACAATTTTACGCTTTCGCGTTAAAGAATGCATTGACTTCGGCAACTGCACACATTGTTTACAATGTCAACTTTACATTTACTTGAACTAACATTACATTTGTCTGTGCGGGTAACAGCACTGGGAGTTACTCCACTGCAGCTATTAACAGCAATAAATGCATGCAAAACCTCTACTTTTTAACATATTGCAAGCATCTTATTAAATTGGCAGTTGATGAATAACATGACGTAGTTATGTATATATTGTATTTGCATTTGATATTAGAGAGAATGTACTTTAATACTCAATATGGGCAAGGGTATCTATGTTAATATTAATATTGGTGTTTTTTGGTATTTTCCAGTGACATGGAAATTTTCAAGTGAATGAAATAAAATTGAAAATAAAAGAAAAAAGTTGCTTATATAAATATTCGTATGTAAAATACATAATATTTAATACGGTATTAAATAAAAAATGTACAGTGTTTAAATAAAAAAATTACAAATTTTTTTTGTTACTATTTTAAGAATAATAAGCAGATATGTAGAAAAACAACAAAGTAAAGTAATAGTCCTTTTTTAATGATAATATTGAGAAGACATTTCTTGTTGTCCTTGAATGTTAAATATTTTTAAAAAAGAGGAAGAAGAGAATAAGTTTTCATAAATTATATCTTATACATTTATCTATAAATCTTACATAAAAATAAATAAATTATAATTTTATACATTATCTTTGATATGTAAATTTCTTGCACTAAATTGATTCATTTATCGTCGATACACAGCCCTGAAGCGCAAGGAATATTGAAAGACTTTATATTTGAATTTTTTTCCTAATACACAAACCACTCAACAAGCTACACAATCAAGGCGGCCATATTAATCAGGTAAAATGCAAATAAATACAACAACAATTGAGATACACCCTTATTACGTCAATATTTATATATGCTCATATATACTAACACATATTTATATTTGCATACAAGCAAAAAGCTCATTTTGCCTTTTGCTGTTGTTGTATATTTAACCTGCAGCACGAAGCGGCAATTAACACAAATTAAGTTTTGAGTCCAAATCCCACAACGACTGTGTCAAATGCGTTGAAATAATAAGGACAAAAAAAGTAGCAAGAAAATCAATAACAAAGCACAAGCAAAAGCAGTATGCATATTGAATGCTTAGTGAATATTTACAGCAACAAATATGTGCATCTTTCTCTATGCATGTATGTGTATATATATACATATATAACAACATACGAGTATCTTGCGAAACTCGCCCAAAATACCAAAGCACTCAGCACTAATCCACAACACAAGCAAAGCCGTTGTAGGCAATCAAACACAGGATGGCACAGGTTGCTACACACAATCACATATAGCACATCTTTGTATGTACATATGTATGTATACGTAATGCAATGTAAAATCAATGAGGCAACAACCGTTCACCCTCCCGACGCTCTCGCTGAAAATCAAACAGCAAATTTTCGAATTTTAGCATGCTAGCAAGCGCGCTTCCACCTCTTCGCCCACGTGCTACAAAAACAACACTCATTCCACCTCGTTGACGATAAACTAACCGCACTTGTCAAGAGACAGGATTAACAAATCCTTATTGCAAATTGATTCAAATGTGTGCGCTACGATTTACGGCAGAAACAAACACGCACACAGAAGTACAAACATGTAGAGAGCATAATGGAGAGCGCATATAAACGCTCTCATACAAGCATAGTGTTCCTAATAGCAAAAGCGCTAGCATTTACCCCTCACAGAAATTTGCTAACGAATTTTCCTGGCAACTTTCCGTTTGCTCTTGTGATTTTCTAGCGTTATATATGTACATACATA